GAGGGAATTAGGTCGAATAGTAACTTTTTGGAGGGGATAAGCTGCTGGATAAGATTATTTATAGAGTAAATAGGTCGAATAGTAACTTTTTGGAGGGGATAAGCTGCTGGATAAGATTATTTATAGAGTAAATAGGACGAATAGTAACTTTTTGGAGGGAATAAGCTGCTGGATAAGATTATTTATAGAGTAAATAGGTCGAATAGTAACTTTTTGGAGGGAATTAGGTCGAATAGTAACTTTTTGGGGGGAATAAGCTGCTGGATAAGATTATTTATAGAGTAAATAGGACGAATAGTAACTTTTTGGAGGGAATAAGCTGCTGGATAAGATTATTTATAGAGTAAATAGGTCGAATAGTAACTTTTTGGAGGGAATTAGGTCGAATAGTAACTTTTTGGGGGGAATGAGCTGCTGGATAAGATTATTTATAGAGTAAATAGGACGAATAGTAACTTTTTGGGGGGAATAAGCTGCTGGATAAGATTATTTATAGAGTAAATAGGTCGAATAGTAACTTTTTGGAGGGACTGCTGGATAAGATTATTTATAGAGTAAATAGGTCGAATAGTAACTTTTTGGAGGGAATAAGCTGCTGGATAAGATTATTTATAGAGTAAATAGGTCGAATAGTAACTTTTTGGAGGGAATAAGCTGCTGGATAAGATTATTTATAGAGTAAATAGGTCGAATAGTAACTTTTTGGAGGGAATAAGCTGCTGGATAAGATTATTTATAGAGTTGATAAGAAATTGATTAAGCTCTTCACCAGTCTTAGTATTTTTCATCCCAGTCTAATATTGCCAATTCATTGTTCATGCTATCAAAATCAGCGCTATCAAAGATATACTTTTCTGTATTGTAAGCATTACGTTTAAATATTGAGTACTGAATTTCAAATTATATCAATGAGTGATCATTGCAAATAGGCGGACCTACTGAAGTATTTCAAACTATATTAACATTATTTGTGAAGACAATATCTTAATAAGGTGGAGTGGTATGAGTCACACGTGTAGGTTCAGTAATTAAATTTATCAGATTACACTTCATCAATAGATGATTCTGATTATTCAGAAGAATACAAGGTTGTAAACTGCACTGAAGTGAATTTTGTTAAATGTACGTCCAGATCAAAGAAGAAATTATCGGATTTCTAGTTTTTTTTATATCGTCGTCGAGTTTGGTCCAACAGATCACTGGCAGACCTATGGGAACTAACTGTGCCTCTTTGTTGGTTGATCTGTTTTTGTTTTACATACGAGGATGAATTTATGGAAGTGATAATTAAAACAGGTCAGAAAGACGTTGCCAAGTTCTTCAGTTTCATGTTCAGATATACTGATGATGTCTTCGAATGACAAGAAATTTATTGACCATCTCCGTCATATATATCAACATAGTTGGAAATCAATTGATACATTTTCCCACCAAGCTGTATGATAAGCGTAATATTTTGAATCACCTTTCGTGAATTTTCCATTTCTATCTACTAACATTCTTACTTCACTAACTTATGGGTGTTTAATATTTGAATATTAACAAATTATAAGTTGACAACAAATGACAAGAATCGTTTTTTGTTGTTCAATAGGTTTGTACTCTACAAAATTGTGCAAAAGATACACAAATTAATAACACCTTTGATTACAAATTTAGAATTAGATTATAAATAAAACTAAATAATAAATCACACTTAGCCCTACAGCTGTTGTGTCCTTCCAGAATTCGTCAGTGATACTAAGGACCTAATATACAATAATACGATGTAGATTTCACAATTTTGTCTTGTCTTTTCAAATTTTCGGTTTCCATGATAAGTATCCGAAAACACTTTTTGATGTTTGATGGCTAAATTTTATTTTGCTTTATAAATGTGTAAGATTAAGCCGCCGAGATCATAACCCTCACCCACTCGCACTTTCAGTGGCAGACCACCAGGCCCCCGCTCAATGCCACCAGTTCATTCATTGGAATAGTGACACGGTTCAGAATATACATATGTGCTTGACGTGCTTCTAAGATTAAACACATGGAATTTATTGAATTACAGGGCTAGTGGGCCACCGCATCTAGACTGATATTTCTTTTGGTCACATTGCATTTTCTTCAGTCGTCTCCATCTAGGGGTTCTAGGGTCTTAGCAAGGACGAAATAGATTTATTTTGCATTTTAAGTTCATAGTTAGGCTCTGATGTATTGATTCCGATTATTCAGCAGAAGGTACAATTCACTAATGTGTCTTTGTACGATTTTCTAAAATTTTAGCCTACAACTGCCTCAATGGTCAGACACTGATGTTTGCGGCTGATCACGGCACTTTCGGCTAAGATTTTGTCTTTAAACATTAGTATGTTAGTTATATACTACATATATAGACCGTGGGTGTGGAATTAGTGTCATATATAATCAATATGATACACATATATGGACCGTGGGTGGGGAATTAGTGTCATATATAGTCAACAGGATACACATATATGGACCGTGGGTGGGGAATTAGTGTCATATATAGTCAACAGGATACACATATATAGACCGTGGGTGGGGAATTAGTGTCATATATAGTCAACAGGATACACATATATGGACCGTGGGTGGGGAATTCGTGTCATATATAGTCAATATGATACACATATATAGACCGTGGGTGGGGAATTAGTGTCATATATAGTCAACAGGATACACATATATGGACCGTGGGTGGGGAATTATTGTTATATATAGTCAATATGATACACATATATGGACCGTGGGTGTGGAATTAGTGTCATATATAGTCAATATGATACACATATATGGACCGTGGGTGGGGAATTAGTGTCATATATAGTCAACAGGATACACATATATGGACCGTGGGTGGGGAATTAGTGTCATATATAGTCAACAGGATACACATATATGGACCGTGGGTGGTCAATATGAAATTATGGACCGTGTCATATATATATAGTCAATATGATACACATATAAATTATTGTTATATATAGTCAATATGATACACATATATGGACCGTGGGTGGGGAATTAGTGTCATATGTAGTCAATATGATACACATATATAGACCGTGGGTGGGGAATTAGTGTCATATATAGTCAACAGGATACACATATATGGACCGTGGGTGGGGAATTAGTGTCATATATAGTCAACAGGATACACATATATGGACCGTGGGTGGGGAATTAGTGTCATATATAGTCAACAGGATACACATATATGGACCGTGGGTGGGGAATTAGTGTCATATATAGTCAACAGGATACACATATATGGACCCTGGGTGGGGAATTAGTGTCATATATAGTCAACAGGATACACATATATGGACCGTGGGTGGGGAATTAGTGTCCTATATAGTCAACAGGATACACATATATAGACCGTGGGTGGGGAATTAGTGTCATATATAGTCAACAGGATACACATATATGGACCGTGGGGGGAATTCGTGTCATATATTCCAACAGGATACACATATATAGACCGTGGGTGGGGAACATGATACACATATATAGACCGTGGGTGGGGAATTAGTGTCATATATAGTCAACAGGATACACATATATGGACCGTGGGTGGGGAATTATTGTTATATATAGTCAACATGATACACATATATGGACCGTGGGTGTGGAATTAGTGTCATATATAGTCAATATGATACACATATATGGACCGTGGGTGTGGAATTAGTGTCATATATAGTCAATATGATACACATATATGGACCGTGTGTCGGGAATTAGTCTCAAGTCTTCATGGTTGTCTATAGTTGTCTTCTCCCAGGTTCGTTTTAGTGATACTACATGATAAGTTTGGTAAACATTGAGAAATCACTCCCATGAAATAACTATGATATTTAGATATTAATGCTCGCTAACTATGTCAGAATATGTATTTACATGTCGAAAGATATCCTAATCTATTGTGTATTAGTAATTTCCTAATTCCCTAACCTTGTCTGTTTATCAGTTTGATGCCCTAACCTTACCTGTAGCTTTTAGTTACTGGTCAGAAAGAGATTTTCACAGTATACTTCGTCAAAAACTAAACAGAAGTCGTAGTTTAGTTTCCCAATTTCTCTGGTAAGCTAGTCTTTCCTGTATCAATCTTCTCCGTGTCACACTATACTTTATATATCACAATAAACATACCAACCGTTAGACACAAAAACAATACATGAAATAGCGAAAATGTAAAAAAAAATCCTGTTGTATTATTGTAAAATTAGTGGTTTAAAAAGAAGTACGATGACATAAGCATGAATTAGTTATAGTAAAACAGCATTGTGAGAGACAGGATATTCGGTCAATCTAGCTTTAGCCGACCACATTATAATTTAATCACCAAAGTAATCCACGTTAATGTGAACAATGCTATGTGATCAGAATGAATTTGAATAGTTAGAAATACAAGAATGTAGATCCTTGTTTTTCAGTGTCTCTGGTAGGAGAGATTGACATCTTTATTCTCGCTATATCACCGTTGTAAACATCATACAGTTGTAGGCCGCGCACAGCTGTTTATAAATCGACCAGTTGTTCTAAAAATAGATTGGGGGAAATCCTGAATATATGCCGGGGTTTTATGAAGAGTATATTACCAACCAGTGAGAAAAATGTTTCTCTGTGATCAAGTCAATCTATCACGTCTTTAGAAGCAAAACAAGATATCACTCCAGAGAACTGTAGAACTGTTATACATGTATTTCTCTACAGGCACAGAGGCTGCAATATTCCGTTATGTCGTCTGCTAGCGTAGCGACGTTGACAGCAACCCTGGACCTCCAAACGACGTTAAGGACCAGGTATGGCCAATATATTTATATCAAAAACATTTTCCCAATCAAGTGACCGTGACCTATTTTTTATGCAAATTATATGTTAATGACCCCTGACGTCATGAATAAATTATGCAAATTAGTTTATGATAACGAGGTCATCACGTGACCAAACGTCATCGTCTGTATGCCGCCATTTGCAGAGAACAACAGAGAAATGGCAAACTGAATAGAAGTCAGACTTTTCTCTATTTATTCATCAGGACGTAAAGTCTTGGTTCCTTAATAGCAACAGTAAGTATGCATTTCTTTGTTTGTCTGATATCGGTATCGTTCTGGCCGCTGGTTCCGAGCGCGGTCAGTTTCATTGCTTGGTCATTCCATTCGTGTTTAGCGCCATCCTTGTCCGAAAATAACTCGTGGGTGACTGACAATGCGGCGTGTGTGATATGTTTTGTTCCGAAATGTTATATTTCAATGACAAGTTGCATACTGATAGCTTATTATTTAATTTATCATGAAACATCTCTTATTTCCTTATGATCCTGATGCTTGTGGAAAATAAACACATGTCTCGCTGCGCACATGCACCTGTTTATAATCATCCTGATGGCCTTTTGCTCCTTGCCCATATAATTTGCTTCACATAAAGCCTATGATCTATATTATGTTGTTTCGATACACACTTCTCTCGACAGAAAGGAAGTACCAATAATGGACCATTTTTTTAATAAACCTGCATTTTCACCCGTATTTTCAAGTCTGGAAACTGCATTGTTAGCTTAAATTGAGATCTGGCAATGCGTTTCTAGACGATGTCGTTCAAATCGACTCGGAAGTTATCGTAGATGTAAATCAATACCTACAGATAGAAATCAAGCCTACTTTTTTCTTTAAAGTGTTTTGATGGAATTATTCGAAGACAGCAAAGATTTCATGCTTGTGTTGTGATGAAACTCTTTGGCCTAATTGAATTGATATTGCGTCTCATCAGGAGAACAGGTTTCCATTTATTGATCTTTGAATTTTATGCCACACATCCAAACATGCAATGTTTCTCCCTCCCTCCTGTCCCTTCCCCCACCTCTTTCCACCTATTCTGTCCCTTCCTCTCATTTCTGCCCCTCCACTTCAATAAGATCAGTCATGTACTGGACAGTAGCTCATAATTTGTTATGATCAATTAGCTTTATTACAGTGTATATTGTTTGAAGTGTTGTAATGATGACTTTCAAAAGTTTTACATCTGATTTAACTTCAAGATGGCTGCCATTCATAAAGGCATGCCTGTCTCCACACCCTAGGCATACATGTCTTAAAAGAAACCTTTCAAGTTTTCCATAACCAAACATTGTATTTATAGTTTTTGCATATAATAATATATATTACTTGTTTTCTGCATAAAAGAGTAAAATGTTTAATTTTTTTCACAATATACAGTTGATCCCAGTTATATTGAAATCCTTGAGTAATGGCAAAATACTTCAAATTATCTGGGTTTCAATATAACAGGGGACAAGCTTGTTAGACTTTGTTCACCATTCTATGAACATCTTATCAACATGTATGATGGTGTACAATACGGGTGAAATGCGTGTATATGCAAAAAACAAATTACAATATGACAGCACTCTTTGTTTGCATTTTTCTTACCATAACATTTTTCACCCTTCAAATGAAATCATTTTTCTAGTTCACATTTAAAAAACAAAGCAGTCTCATCCACATTAAAAATATCTTTCGTCTTGAATTTTAATATATCTGCCAGTTTGTTGTTTTTTCTTCCTTTTTTTACTTGTACTTAGATTGATTCTGAAACCTCTTGCAATACCTCTTTCAGCTTTTTCTTTTAGATCAACAGATCAAATTAGTTCGTACTTTTCATTGGAAGAAGCCATTACAACAACCGCTCTGTTTTCTATTCTGATGTAGACTAAGGCCTGTGTCCAAATAGCAAATACAACTTACTGCTTGATAAAATTTATTTCTGTTGTATCAGACATTTACCTGGCTATTGACATACTCGCCAAAGCTTACACCTTCAAATGCGGATCATACTGGCTTTCAAATTAAGCTGTGTGATAACGACAACTTTGTGTTGCGATATTACCAATTAAGAGAGTTCAAATTAAGCTGTATATAAAAACAAAGACAAAGAAGACATTTGGTCAGGGATTGAATTTTATTTCAAATTAAGCTTTTTGAGATATCGAAGTTCAAATTAAGTGGGTTTGACTGTATCTTGTATTGGTTGCATCTCGCAGTCCCAACATCCACTAATTAATGGTAATTTACCTTACAATTATGACCAAGCTCTGACCACTAATTAAAATTTACCTGATGGGCATTGAACTATGGGCATGTGTCAATTTCCATCACAGGTTACCAACCTTGCCACCAGATGGCATTGCATGAAGTAAACATCAGTATCAGATTAACTTGGCCTACCCGTGTGAATCTGCTTGTCAGATACATTTCAATTATTATTATTATTATTATGACATTTATTAACTGCTTGTCAACACACAAAAGGTCATTAGGGCCATCAACAGGTGAAAGTGATCTATTGTTTGTTAATAATGTATTGATAGGTCAGTAGGTGTACTCTTAATCATCTTGGAAACCCAGCATACCCACAGGTATTGTAATCAGTGTGTGAATCTCTGACATATAAAATATCTAGATAAAACTGTTCAACACAGGGATAAGATTCTAAGATCATAAATTAATGCAGATGCTCAGTGATACAGAAGATTTTGTCTTTTGTATTGTTATTGTAAGCAGATATTGTCACTTGTTCTCTGAAATGTACAATATTTCCAGAGATATGAAAAGATATTGACTGATATTTACAGTTTGATTGTAAAAATGGCACTGATGGTTAATAGTTTAATTTAGTATCATTCTTGCCTTTCAGATGTCCTCTCGAAGTGGGTCTTCTAGAAGGTTTGTATATTTGATGAGGGTTTGCTTAGATATCTTACAACTAGGGTCATTTTAGATTTATTGTAGTTCTTCTGTTTCTTAGCTTCCTAAGTAAATGTTAGGGAAGGCTTCCACACAATTTGATACCATACCAAATCTGTTTGATAAAGTATCAAGGTATCTAGATATTTAAAGATTTTGTGTCTATTTTGTTTTGATTATTGGTGTATAGCTGCAGTTTAAAGTTCAATAATAGTTATTCCTGGATAACCCAAACAAAATAGGAAAGTGAATCCACATATTTAGAGTTTTTCTTCATTAAAACACACTTTCATTTATATTGATTCCAATATTTACAGACACAAAATAATGTAAACATTCAGTTTGCAGGCAAAAAAATTCATTTCACAGAATAGCTTATTGTTTCAGTATTTGTAATGGACTTTATTTGCGGCAGCATTTGAAAACATGCAAAAATGAATGCCCATACTGATACAAGGAATTTACTTTGAAGTTATAATGTCATATCATCATGCGTAATGATAATGAGAATGGAAATAAAGATTATATAGAGACAATTACAACTGTAAATCTTTATGATTCATAATCAAAATGTACTGTAAAACTTGTATTACCAGAAAGCCACTAGTCACCCGTAAGGTGTTCGACAATTCCACAGACGAGGAAGAAGATGATGCTGCTAGGAATGATAGTCAAAAAGTAAATGGAGACTCCCAGTCAGAAGAGGATATTCCAGAGGAATTACCGGAAGGTATTCAATCATTTTTCATGTGCCTCACATAGGCATTTAAAATTGTGTGTACCATATTTGTTGTGATTATAAGTTGCACTGGTATATGAGCCTCATGTCTTGACAGCGAGGAAGAAAGTTTCGGCTTATGATACACTGACATACACTGTTTTTAATTTATGGTTAGAAAAAACAATGTGTTCTTCTAGACCATTGTGCCTTTTCTGGGAACTGAAATGCGTTTATCTTCATGCAAGGTCATATTATGAATTACACATGTTTAAATGTTACTCTGGATAAATAAAAGATATTATTAACACATTAAACTGAAAAATCAAATTTCTTTGTTCAACAGGCACAGTGGTTGTCAACCCAGAACCAGTCGAGGAGAAAAACCCAACCTTCAAGGGACCTGAATTTGTGTCGGGAAAGCGTAAAGTCACAGGTAATGACTGTGTGTATGAGGGTGCACTTTTGTTTTTGACATTCAATTGGCATGTAATTACGTAAAGGTTTGTTTTGTATATTAATTTTTCAGTTATTAATTCAAAGGTTAGAATCAACTACATCAAAACCCTTTTATTATTACTTCTGGTTTGTCTCAAGAAAACATTGAAAATGGAATTAAAATTGAATGAGAGATAACCATCAAAGCCTGGAAGTGAACTTGATCGATGTGATTGATTCTTAGAGAAGTTGTTTTGTAAAGATGATTGGAGTCGTCCTTTATTGACAGTGACATTGAAACTGATTAAGTGCAAAGTAGTATTTCACTGGTACATCTAGATTATATTTTGCTGTCAGTTTTCCCTCTCAAGTTATTGTATTTTTACTCCAGGCAGTCAAATGAGGCCATTGTTGGAAAAATTAAAAAATTAAGATGAAATAAATCACTTGAGGAATGTTGAAGAATTAGATATATTTCCTGAAGGAGGTCAGAGTTTACAGAAATCTTTGGTATGATACAGGATTTATCATATGATTAGGCTTGATCAGAGATTAAATTAATATAATTTAAGGTTATTTATTTCATTGATTTTGGGGACTCTGACATTTGTATTCACTTAGATTTTGAGACCCAACTACATCTCTTAGTATTGGAATTCATGAACATTTTGGAATTGGTGTTCTCGACTTGTCTTAAAAAGATTAATTTATCTTTCCCTTGTGTTGAAGGGGAAGTTATCACTCAACAATCAAAAGTGAAAGTTATATTTAGCAGCATGCCATATACAGCAATATCACATGAAGGTTTTCATCCCAGCTTTTTGAAGAGGCAATCATCCATGCTATACATGTACATGTTATCAAATTATTTGGCTAAAAAGTGTTTGTAAAGGAAAGTATTTGGAAAGTAACAATTTATTTGTAGGTAATGTCAGCATAGATGTTAGTGGTTTGATGTCTCGTGTGACCTGTACTGCCTGTCACAAACAGATCAACACTAACAAAAAAGGGTCAGCTCGACGACATCCTCTCCTCAAAGTCCTCATCTGTAAGGTAAGTCACAGCAATTTACAACATCATTTATACTGAAATAATCAGGGTTAAGTTATACGGAGTATGTCTGGCAATTTACATCTGTAGACTTTCTTCTGACTGAATTGTTTTAAAATGATATGTATATGAGCATAAAATTCTGACAAAAACTTCTTTCTCACATTTGTAGATGAAAATGAATTGTAATATGTAAAGAAATACCCTTTCCTACTGAGTATCATTTCTAGGAATTGTTCTTTTTTCTTCTTTTTAATTTTCATTCCTCCTTGTCATCTTGTTATGTTCATTCCTCCTTGTCATCTTGTAATTCACTGAATTAAGTTTGTTATCCCTAGAAGTACTAAATGGATCTCCCTCAGATTTCATATGTAGGTTTCACTTTGTCCCTAGTTGTGCCAAATTTGAATTTTGAACTGATGGAGGGGGACAAATGGCTGTCAGGCAGCAATCTCGGATTTTCACTTTGAAAGATTGTTATTATAGTTTGTAGAAAATAAATGCATAGATCCTTCTGAAATTTGAAGTGTAGGGCCCCTTGGTCCTTGGTTGCTCCCTTTTAATTTTGGGTCTGATCAGAAAAACAAAATGTCTGACAGGTGGCCATCTTGGATTTTGATTAGTGAAGATTGTTATCTGTTTTTCTTAAGAAGAACCAAATGAATCTCTCTCAAATTTCATACATATGTTTCCTTTCACCTCAAAATGGCTTCCAGGCAACCATCTTGGATTTAGCAGGTAAAGGTTATCATTGCTTTATCTGCAAATGAATGTTGAAATTTCATATCATTAAGAGCAAAAACAGAGAAGGGAACAGAAATGAGGAAAATGATCCAACTTTCAAAGAGCAAATAAAGATCAAACAATGGTGGGTGCCAATGTCCTGGGATCTCTTTTTTTTCTCTCTCTCTCTCTCCATCTCTCTTAGTTTGTTGGAAAATAAAAATATGGTGTCCAACAAATTATTTTACATCCATTTCCACTTAATTGGTGCATTGTCCATCTTAAGGTGTCACTTTTCATCAGAAATGCCTCTTGAAGTCTTGGTGCTGAAAGGTTGAGGTATTACCCAATGTACACTGTGCATTAATGTTGGCTGCTTTAATGTTGCTTATTAGATCAACCATAATTACATCAATTCCCCACTATTAACTGTTATCAACCACAACCGTAACATGTCTCACTGTCTTAAATTATGATCCTTGGAGCATTTCTAATATCTATTTTTTGTTCAATTTGAATACGATGCTTCAAAGGGAGACAACTTTGATATATTTTTATTATTTAATTTTTATTTATGTTATAAAAAAAGATACCTGAATACTAAAAATTTGCATTTCGCAACTGGTGATTTCTTCTCATTATTATACATAATCTGTTTTATGAAACAGTAACTGCTACCAAATTTTTCCAAAAATGGTTAGTCTAAATTTAAAAACTTACCTAAATGTTTTTCATTGCTTCCAATGATTTCCAATAATTCAATTTTCAGAGATGAATGAAAGAAAACTAAGCTTTTAACAATATTTTTGCTGTTTAAGAGAGCATTATCTCTGTTATACTAAATGTATTTTTTCCCTATAATAGAATGTTTTATGTAATTTAAATACATTTATGGTATTCTGACAAAAGGATTATTAAAATTATTTCATCACTTTGGAAAGCAATTTCTGCAGTCTCTGGTCCCTGAGAAATATCCTCTGGAAATGGTAACACTTCACAACATATAAGACTGAATTCACAGAAGAATGTCTTCTGAAAATAACAAGTAATTCTTTAGAGCCCCAATATATGTTTGAAATATTTACAATGACCTGTTTTGGCATGTAATAGTGGATCTGAGGGTGAGTTTTTTTGTTGTAGCGCTGTCGTACCTACTATGATAGTGGCCCTATACAGAAGGACAAGGATGGTCTAGATGAACAGTGTCGTTGGTGTGGTGAAGGAGGACGATTGTTTGGATGTGATTTCTGTCATAATGCATTCTGCAGATCCTGCATCATACACAACCTTGGTCGGTCAGAATTGATGCGTGTACAGAACGGTAAGCTGGGCGTGCATGCACGATGTGTTGCGATTGAATAAGTACCAGTTTTACCATTACAACTTTCGAGATGGATTTGTCTGACATTCTGATATGTTTGGTTAAAATCTGTTCAGTCTGCTAAAAATGTCCCATTGTTTTAGTGATGATAAACAAGGCATGAGAATTCCAATGATTGGTCTAGGTAGTTTTGCAGACGCTGTTAAATCAAGCTGTTATTTCTGAACATTTCACTTATGGGGAATTTTGTAAGAAAAAAAGTTTTGTGGAAAATTGAATTGCATTGAAAAGGTGCTCCAATAAGAAGAAAGTGTGAAATTATGTTTTCTAGTGCTGGCCAATTAGAGGTTTTCTGTGTGAACTGTGAGGAAAATTTCAAATACTGCTGTCTTTATCGGGGTACGCACAGAAAATACAAATGATTTCATGATTTTGGGTTTTTTTCAAGGTCTCTTGCTAAATGTGCTTTCTGGTTTTTTAGATGACAAATGGAAGTGTTATGTGTGTAATTCTAAGTCACTACGATCACAGCGTCATGAATGTGAGGCAGTACTTGAGCAAATCAAGAAGGAAGAACAAAAGGCAAAGAATGCCTTGGAACGGGAAAAGGAAAGGGAAAAAAATAAAGACAAGAAAGACACATCAAGTAAAAGCCCTGCTGTGAAATCTGGTGATATAGTCAAAACTGCCGCATCTTCAAAGTCTGTTGATACTAAACAGTCTAATGTGAAAACCACTACTAGTAGAAATGTGGAAGTTGTTGTCGTAGGACCAAAGACTCCTGTTCAGCCCAAGCCCTCCATGAAGATTGAACCACAACAAAAGGCACCAGTTCAACAACAGCTAAAGAACTTGCTAAATTTGGCTGGTGGTCAGCAATACAATGCACAGCAGAAAGCATCACCAGTAAAGAGGATTCAGCAGCAAAAACAGCAGCCCCGGCCGATGATGAGTCGAGTCGGGTTTATTTCTAGTCTTGATCCAACTTCTATAACTCTTCCAATGTTGATTAAAGAATTCAAAAAAAATATAACACCGACAACAATTCCCCAAGTTCTCAACAAACTAATGAGCATTACAAACTCTCTAACTCTGCTGATGTCGTCGATTAAAATGAACATAATGGACAATAATTTTAACAGGCCTGGTTATGAATCCCTCAATGCCATGACCATCCAGAGTCGAAAGACAGCTGTGGATTGTTTGGTCAGTGGATTGGAGCTCTTTCTTCAAGAATTACAAATTACCACAGTGGGTGAATATGTACAACCGCCTCCAGAGAGTGTTGACATAGCAGGAGCTAACGGTTCATCTGCAGACATGAATAATGCTGGTAATGGGGATGACTCAGAACCAGAGGTGGTAGAAATTGACTCGCCCGCTAAAACGCCAAAAAAGTCATCGCTAAAGATGACTATGATTAATAATGAGATTATTGTGGAATCAGATTCTGAGGAAGAGGTTACACCTGTAAAAATGGAAGTTTCTCAAACAGACAGTGTTGAAAAAGAAACCATAAAGGGAGAGCAGGAAATGGATGATAAGATATCCAAAGATGAAGGCATATCAGATGAGGCAGTAGAAGACAAACTGACAGTGGAAAAATCATCTAAAAAAGTAGACAAAGAAAAGATGGATAAAAAAACTGAAGTCAGCAAAGATATCAACAAAAAAAAGGCGGACAAAAAATCTAGAGAGGAAAGTCCCAAGAAACAGTCAAATGTCAAGAAGGAAGGTCCCAAGAAGGCCAAGAAATCGGGTACTGAAGACAGTGATAAAGTTGACTCTGAAAATACAGAGGCTCAACTAGAATTGTTGAAAGAACTGGCAGATGAGTTAATAAAAAATGGTAACAAGTCAGACTCTGAATCTGAAAATGATTCAGAAGGTGAGGATAACGAGGACAGTCAAAATATTGAGAATGGTGATGAAGATGAGACATCAAAAAAGGGTGCTAATGAAACTGAAGATGATAGTGACAGTAAAATTGTAAGTAGTGACGGGAGTAATGGTATTACTAATCCAGAGGAGAATTCTGCGGAGGATAAAGGAGATCAAAAGGAAAGTGATGATGAGAAAGAAGTGGAAAAAGAGAACAATGATGAGGAAGAGGAAGATAAAAATAGACCGGTTTCAAGTGCAAGCAGTAATGCTGAGAGTGATTCAGACAGTGAAGACAGTGATAATTCTGGACCAAGGAGACGACTAAGAAAAAGAAAGAAAGGTAAACATTCAGTCCTCTACAAAAGTTCTATGGATATTTATTTAACATTGTGTTTTCTAGTTCTGTATTTGCTATTTTATATTTTTATTACAAAAATTATGTTCAGGACTCACATTCACTAAGGAGTCTTCATAAATCTACTAAAAAGATGGCCAGGAAATAAAGCTCTTTACTTAAAAATTAATCTGAATGCTCATATTGATGGAAAAAGATTTCCAATGCCTGATGGAAAATTGATACTGATTTTGCTGTAGCTTTTCAAACAGCATTTCTATGAACTGTTGACTCAATATTTTCTGATTCTTTTTGAAAGCTGCATTGAAGCAAATTTAAATTCCTAGAAGTCAACTTTTTGCTCTTAATGTAAATTTTGGTGACCTGAAAAAACAATATTTAATCTCTATCTTGGCATTATACCATAAGTTCCTGTGGCCCATCACTTCCTTTTGATAAAGGATAACTTTTTGTGCCTCACGTTCAAGTTTGCTTATTTGAATTTTAAATGAGTTCCATCCGGCCTTTTAAATTGTTTTGATTTCTTAACAAATATATTTTCTTAGGTCAGTTTGGATTTCTCTATGGCTTTGTCAGGTCAGATATCAAGTTTACTAACTCAAGATTGAAAATTAGTTCCTTCACTGTTGGCAACCACTTTCATGGGTGTTTTTGTGTATAATTTATAAAGCAACATACATCATACAAAATATCATTGTCAGATATATAGGCATTGTTCATTATATAATTAATACATGCTAGCTTGCATTATATTATGTATTTGTAATTTCTTAACAAAATATCATTAATCTATGATTTTTTTTCTTGTACAAGATGAAAAACCAGAAAAGAAAGGAAAAGGGAGTTTGAAAATACGTTTGCGACTTCCTGGCAAGACTAAATCACAGAAAGAAAATGAAGACAAGAAGAGTGACAGGAGAAGTAGTCATTCCAAGACAGAAGAAGAGTCCCAAGAATCTGAAGAGGAAAACAAAGGAAAGAAAGGCAAGACCAAGAAAAAGGAAAAGGAATCAGATTCTGAAAATTTTGATTCTGATTTAGAGGATGAAATTGATAAGCTAGCAAAAGATCCCAAAATCCAAAAGAAGAAAAAGAAATCTGATGAAGAGGAAAAACCATCCAAAGAGAAAAAGAAAGATCTGAAAGGAGAAAAAGACAAGAAAACAAAAGGTAATTTAGATATTTTTAGGTAATCTGACCTGATAGGTCAACATGATCTATTGCCATCGTGCTTAATCCGTTGTCCTGCACCATGCATTATGCATAAACCTTTTTCTTTAAAACCCTACTCCTCTTTCATACCTTAATGGATTTCAACCAGGGCTTCAAAGGCAATCTTTTGCTCCACAACACTACTCCTCCTTAATGCCTGGGTATACATAGATTTCAACCAAATCTGGCCTGAAACATTTTTAGGGAGTGGCAATGATATCTAAACACATAAAGTGATCCTGAGATTGTACCGACCAAATCTTTTTTTTTTTTCAGCTCTCTCACTTTGGTTGAAAATCCAACATATTTCATCTTGAACATATTGTCTGAACTACTTCTCAAGTTTCATTCACCCCAATGACAAAAATATTTGGAGTTTGATTCGTTAAGGAAAAGAAAGAGATGATGTGTTATTTTTCAGCCTGATCAAAACTTCAACATAGTAACCACAGTAGTCATTTTGTAACATGGTTGCACAATTGTTTTTCATGTACAGAATTTACTACTTATGAGTTTCTGATACTTTGAAGGAATGTTTAAAATTTGAATTCATCAGGTTAGTCAGACCACCATCTGTAAATCCTTTGTCCATCCATTCATCGATTGTCAGATGACCGTTTAGGGCCATGGCCCTCTTGTCTTATTTCTCTTAGTTTGTAAAATATTTATTACATGTAGATACATTTTATAAAGATAGTGATCTGTGTCTTTCATATCACTGCCTGTTTTAGTTGTAGTCAGGTCTCAGTTGTACAAGAAACATTTGTAGGTTTTAATCTCATTTGCAAGTGAGATCAGCTATGAAGTAACATTACAGATGTCACTCAGATGAAAATTTGTCTTAAATAGGGCCACATTATTACTGTAAAAACTTTTGTTGAAATCATAGGCAAGAAGGAGGAGAAGGTTGACAGTGACAGTAGTGAAGGGACGGATAACTATGATCCAGAAGAGGCTCCAGACGAGGAAGAGGAGGAAGAACCTATGGAAGCTGTGGATCCGACATCAGACATCTCTGCTAGGGAGGTAGGTAAAATATACAGTCAGAAGAAAAGGGAAAACATCAGTGTTTTGTGAGATAACTTTGTTCCTTAAACTGGAACACTTGTACAGAATTTACTGTCTTACTGTTGTTGGGCAAAGTAATTATGTTAACACGGAAGGACTAGCAAGGTTGCTGCAAAGTTATTTGCTAGTTCTAACAGTGATCAGTAGTTCTAAACTCAAGAATCACTCCACAATAAGTTTTGAAGCGTTGAGTAGAGACAAGTTGTAAACTTTGGTGAACATCTAACATTACCTTGTATAAAAGGTCTGCTGCACAGATATATGCAACTCTTCCACTAAGGACATATCAATTAATGCTTTATGTCATTTCAGAATTCTTCTGATGAAGACAGCGAAAATAATGAAGACAGTGATGATAGCAGTGATTCAGGTAATAAAAACAAATTATTTTGTATTTGAGTTACATAAGCTGGCTGATGAACAAAAGAAGTTTTAAAGATAAAAATAGTCAGTTAATGGAAGGGAAGATCTTATCCTTCTCTGAGTGACTCCATACTTCTGTAAGTGAGATATCTGGATTTTAAAAGTGATAATTTGCAAATTGCTTAAAAAAGTTTAGAGTTGAAATAAAATTTTAGAGTAGGTACAGGGAACAGAAATGGGAAATATTTTTTGTTTGGCCTGATCAGTGTTTTACGCTTTGATTGTAGAAGTGATCATAAACAGTCCAAAGAAGAAGCGTGGAAAGGCCACATCCAAGAAAACAAAAAAATCAGAATCTGACCCTGATAGTGACTCAGATGCAGTTCCGAAAAAAAAGACTAGACTTCACACAAAACTGCTAGATGCTAAATTGTCGGAATCTGATGATTCTGACTTTGAATTGCCAAGGAAAGGAAAAGGGTTAGTTTCTATAATATATGTATACAATTGTGTACAATAATATTTCTTGTTGTCTATAACGACTGCAAATGTAACGAAATTAAACCCTCAGATGTACTTTTAACGATACAACACTCTGTTACATTTTGCGTAACATTTCAGGAGAAATATGTTTATCATCGATAAGTTTAAGAAAATTTTATGATGTAGTTTTTATCCAAATGTATTTAAAAGTTTTGAGGAGTTCAAGTTTAACATACCGAAACTGAACTTTTTATGAACAGAAAGAAAAGGAGAGCAAAGACGGACTCTTCGTCACAGGAATCAACTGAAGTGGACAGTGACGTGGCTTCAAAGAAAAAGTTACGGGGTAAAAAAGGTGCCAATCAGAAGGGGAAGGGTAAAAAAGGAAAAGGGACCAAGCGACGACGTATCAAGGTGGCTTCAGATTCGTCCGATGAAAAAATGAGTACTGAGGGAGAAGAAGAGATGAAAAATGAGAAAAAGGTTTGATGATTGAATAGCCTAGTGTTAGATTGTCAATTATGTGATCAGTTAACTGTGTGTTGAATAGAAAGTGAATTCATTCTCTGTGGTAGTAATGTTTTATTCATTGTAAATTTTATGTAAAATACTTCACTTTAAACCTAGGATATGAATATCATTTCCATAATAGCAAATTTGTTTAGTTAAAAGTAGTCAGTCACATAAAATTCTTTACATTATATTTCAACAAGCATTAATTTTTTCTTGTTTAGAAAAAGAAGAAAAAGAAAGGGGGATCTGACTCCGAAGAGGACTCTGATGAAGAAGGGGATGAAAATGGATCTCCAAGTAAGGGTAGGAAACAGATTCGCAAGATTAAGTCAGACAAGAAACTGACGGATTCCACACGCAAAGCTGTCAAAGCAGAGGAAGAACGACGTAAGAGAATTGCAGAGAAACAGAAGGAGGTAACAATTGTTTTTATGTTGTTGTACTGATCCAACTTCTGTTTAAAGGGTTCGTGTAGAAAACACCATGGATTGATTTTAAAATTGAAGCATTTTAAGTCAGCCTAATACACAGCTTAATGGTGTGTTTTAAATCTGATGAAATCTTACAGTTCTCTCTTGGTTAATATTCTTCCTTCCATGGCTGTGTATGGACCAGGACTTTTTCCACAAGAATTTGCAATTATGATAATATAACTGCATTTTTCTATGGGTATCTAATGAACTGTCAAGACACAATGTTTTGACAGTCATTATGACAATGTTGTTTTATATCTTTCTAAACCTTACTAAAAAAACTTTACTAAAGGTAGTCTAAATTCATTGGAAGTTAATACGTAAATATAAAAATACCAGTAACACTTTTCTTTTGTCCTATTTTGACTGTATTGCTGAACTACAAAATTTTAATCACTAGTCCGCTCTATTTTGAAAAGTGGTGCAGATTTTTATCTTGCAAAGGATAAATATTTTTGCTGCCATTAGTGGAGATGTGTAAACATGTGTCTGTCCCTGAAAAGGTTTGCAACTGATAAACCATATTGATACAAACATTTTTCTGCAAGGTTGTCCTGACAGAAATACAATCAGAAAGTTACTGAATGATGTTCAGTTATTTATTGGTAAAATCAGATGTTATAATCTCTATTAGATCTGACAGCCATGTCATGATACTTTTCTGCTTTCATTGTATTATGTTGTTAGAATATCAAAATATCAGAAAAATGCCCATTTATACTACAGTGTATGTTAATTTAGTACAGGTTTTATTCTTCTAAAGAGATCCAAGTATCCAGTTAAGCATGTTTGTCTGATGTTTAATCAGTCTTGTTTTGCAGCATATATCTTATTAGATAGAAATGTATATATAAGCTCTCTTTCAATATATTAAAATGTAATGTGTGAATGTGTGTGTATTTTTGTACAAATTATCTTCCTTTATATATGATCTACTTCACTTAAGTCGCCTTCGGTGAGAATTTACATAGGCTCTGCCTGTTGTACAATCCTATTGACTAAATTTGTTGAAATGAAAAAAGGTTTGCAACGTAATTGAAAAGCATGCCATGAAGATGGAAGAAAAGAAAATTTGGCTTATTTCCCATCATCAAATGATGAGCGCAATTGATGTTTTCAAGTCAGGGTCATTTTGTCATACCGTATTATCTGTTATCAGGTGTGTGTTTCACTTCCTAGTTTTATATAGTTTCAGTGAAACATCTTTAGAATGCAAATTCTGGCAAGTCCATCAGAAAAAGAAGCTCTAAAAACACATTATGTTGAATGTTAAAAATTATGATTAAACAAGTACCTGTCCTGTTTTCAGTTTAACAATGTTGTGGTTGAAGAGGATCCATCAGCACCAAACAAATGCCCTATCACAAAAAAGCTGGTATTTGAGTATGACAAGGAAACTAAGGAACCACTGATAGAAGTTGATGAAAGGTTAATCACCAAGCTGAAACCGCATCAAGTGGAAGGTTGGTTCATCAATCTGAACTTATTTTAGTCTGTTGAATTATCAGATTGGTTGATACTTAAAGGAATACATCTATGATTTGAAGATTTTCTTTTAACTTGATAAAGTGCTGCTAGGTAAACTGTTATTTGATGTCTGTTGAGAAAGGTTAAGTCTTCACTTCCTCATGTCTCATTCATGTTTGGGTGTAGGGGAATCAATTTTCTCCGCCCCTAATAGGGGAAATAGAATGAACTCTTTAAAATTCTTCTCCTCCTGTAGGAATGATTAGATTTTCCTCACGTTTGTCAGATACATCTTTTTAATGATGGTAAATCAGTTTTATATAAATGGTCAGTCTTGGCTCCCTGGGGCCAGATGGTCGGGGCCCAATAGGGAAAATCTATCAATTCTTTAAATTCAGTCTTGTTCTCTTGGAGAAACAGCAAATTCTTTAAAATCCTACTCCTTGTGTAGGAATAATTGAATTTTACCCTAATTTGGTCTTTAGCATGTTTGGGTGAAGGGAAATCAATTTTTTATAAATGGTGGGTCTTTGCCTTCCTGTGGCTGGAGGGAAGGGGCTCAGTAAGGGAAATGTTTTATATCTTTGAATGGTTCAGATTTCAATCCAATAACCATGTATAGCACTGCTGGGCATAAAGAGATAAATACAATAGTGATTTAAGAATTGACTCTGTACTTTGGCTCCACCCCTCTGTATTTAATTTCTGGGTTACATCTTTGAAACAGTTGAGATCTCCACCCCATAACCATATATAGCAATGATGGACATCAGGAGATAAATACATTCACGATGTAAGAACTGGCCTTTGGGTGTGGCGGGTTAAGGGCTTGGTAAAATTATTTTAAGAAATATTGTGCTACATTGGAATTGAGAGTATTATGGTTGAAAAGGATTTTGTAAATAAGAAACGACTTTGACACATTCATCCATGAAATTATTTTCAGTCTGTTTTCAGTTTTATCGTTCTATGTATTTCAGCGGCACAGTTCATGTGGGACTGCACTGTTGAGTCTGTGGAACGTATAAAGAAGGAGAAAGGAGCTGGCTGTATCCTAGCTCATTGTATGGGTTTGGGAAAGACTTTATCTGTAAGATTTCATATATATGTCTAGAGAGTTTTACACTTTTATCTGTAGCATATGTGCATAATTTCTACATTGAAAGCTGTTATATTTGAATGGTTCATTTAAAGTGATCTCTAAGTAACAGCTGTATTTAAGAATTTGCCATACTTTGATGATTATGGTCTGTAAATTTGATACTGACATAAGTTGGCATTCTAATAACATTTTCCTGTTGTAAACAATGGTATATATGGGTGACAAACATTGAAAATGTATAGAAAATCATGCTGTTGATGCCATGTATACTTTAATAATTCACGTGATCTAGAAATGATTATGAAAACATCAATTGATAAAAGAAGTATAACTTTCATGTAAAATAAGTCAAATCAAATGTTATATAGTAATGAAAGACATGTTGTGCAATGAGGAATTACATGTTGTGCAAGGATGAAGTACATGTTGTGCAATGAGGAATTACATGTTGTGCTACGAGGAAGTAAATCTGTGTTGATGAAGTACCTGTTGTCTGGTGATTAAGTACCTGTTATCTGGTGATGACGTACATGTTGTTTGGTGATGAAGTACATGTTTGGTGTCTAGTGATGAAGTACATGTTGTCTGGTGATGAAGTACCTGTTGTCTGGTGATGACGTACATGTTGTCTGGTGATGAAGTACATGTTGTTTAGTGATGAAGTACATGTTTGGTGTCTAGTGATGAAGTACATGTTGTCTGGTGATGAAGTACCTGTTGTCTGGTGATGACGTACATGTTGTCTGGTGATGAAGTACCTGTTATCTGGTGATGAAGTACATGTTGTTTAGTGATGAAGTACATGTTTGGTGTCTAGTGATGAAGTACATGTTTAGTGATGAAGTACACGTCTGGTGATGAAGTACCTGTTGTCTGGTGATGAAGTACCTGTTGGCTGGTGATGAAGTACCTGTTGGCTGGTGATTTGGTGATGAAGTACCTGTTGTCTGGTGATTTGGTGATGAAGTACATGTTGTCTGGTGATGAAGTACCTGTTGGCTGGTGATTTGGTGATGAAGTACCTGTTGTCTGGTGATTTGGTGATGAAGTACATGTTGTCTGGTGATTAAGTGCATGTTGTCTGGTGATGAAGTACCTGTTGTCTGGTGATGAAGTACATGTTGTCTGGTGATTAAGTGCATGTTGTCTGGTGATGAAGTACCTGTTGTCTGGTGATTTGGTGATGAAGTACATGTTGTCTGGTGATTAAGTACATGTTGTCTGGTGATGAAGTACCTGTTGTCTAGTGATTTGGTGATGAAGTACATGTTGTCTGGTGATTAAGTACATGTTGTCTGGTGATTAAGTGCATGTTGTCTGGTGATTAAGTACTGTTGTCTGGTGATGAAGTACCTGTTGTCTGGTGATGACGTACATGTTGTCTGGTGATGAAGTACCTGTTGTCTGGTGATAAGTACCTGTTGTCTGGTGATTAAGTACCTGTTGTCTGGTGATGAAGTACCTGATGTCTGGTGATGACATACATGTTGTCTGGTGATGAAGTACATGTTGTCTGGTGATGAAGTACATGTCTAGTGATGAAGTACCTGTTGTCTGGTGATGCCGTACATGTTGTCTGGTGATGACGTACCTGTTGTAAGATGATAAAGCACACCTTGTATGATAATGTTTTCAGGTGATAACATTTCTCCACACTGTGATGAATCACTCGGATCAGACTGGTATTTCCAAGGCTCTTGTTGTTGGCCCTCTCAATACAGTCCTCAACTGGCAACAGGAATTTCAAATATGGCTCAGTGGAGAACTGGGAGAGGAATTCTACGAGGTAAAGCTTGCCATGTTCACAGGAAAAAACACCTAACTGCTATCTGGATGATCGAGCAGATTACTGTCTGCATCAACTGATTGCTTTCACTTTGATAATTCATCTTTTCCTGATTTTATGAAATACTATGAATGATACCTTCACATTTATGGTATTCAAAGTTAAAACACAGGTTTAAATTAATTGTAAAAAAGTCTTGTGTTTTTCAGGATAATGAAATAGGCATGTTCCAAAATCTTTAACTTGTGTAACTAACTCCCAAAGTTTTGCACCTGAGTCTAAAATCTTATCTGAAGTACATTGAAAGATGGGCTGTAAACAGCATATTCTAAAATTTTTAACCTTGTTAACGAAACCAAGTTCATTGTAAGGTCGGATGGATGTAAATCCAGTCAACTACAATAATTGAACTACAGTGACAGCAGCTTAGTCTTGTGTTTATTGAGGATGTTTTTTAAAGTTGATGATATCAGTGTCATTTGTTGTGCTAAATACATTGATACTTTCTCCTACATTAGCAGTGTTTAAGTAACATTGCTTTAGTTGCAAACAATACTATAGAGCAAAAATTCCACAAGAAAAGGCAGTGATTTACATCTGATAAAAGATGATGTTTGCCTCACCATATGTTGTTTTTGTCAGGTGTTTGAGATCTCCAGTGTGAAACAGAATGTTGCTAGAGCTGACATGCTGAAACACTGGCACAAGAATGGAGGAGTTATGATAATGGGATATGAAATGTTCCGAAACCTTACACAAGGCAATCACTGTCGTAGCAAAAAGCTGAAACAAATATTTAGGGAAGCGTTGGTGGATCCAGGTAATTAGTTATGTATTTTTCAGGCCTCTGCAATTTGAGTAGGCTCAGTATAAAGGTTTTGTGTTTTCTTTAAATCTAGATATCAAAACTGCTTTTTTAGACATCACATTTCACTCCATCACTTTAATTAAAAAAATATTTATGACATAAATATCTGTAATATTGCAATATTACATCTTGTGACATTTGATACATTTCATGTAGACTCAAGATTTTTTTACTTTGTAAATCATCCTTTTATCAAGGAGGATACTGACAGCAAAACATTTCCAAATGAAAACCTAAATATTCAAAGTCAATTTTCTGGTCTTGAGAACCCACATCTGATGTGATTTTGGTAAAGCAGATAGAAAACATTACTTACGCTTCTTGGTTGTTCACAGTTGCTGTCTGTAATGCTTGTTTTGTCTCTATAGCAACAGAATGATAAAGGTTATGATTTACTTTCTAACAAAGTTTTGGGATTTGTTTCTTTATCATCAGGTCCAGATATTTGTGTGTGTGACGAGGGACACATCCTCAAGAACGATGCCTCAGCCATTTCTAAAGCCATGAACCAATTGGTGACACTAAGACGTATTGTGCTCACTGGAACTCCTCTTCAGAACAATCTGATTGAATGTACGTCATATCTGCAGCATAAGTAAAATACCAGAATATTTTAACTATGGGTTCACTTACAGATTGTTGATATTTGATAGATCTGTACCTCAAGGTCCTTACTACTATTGATAGTATATCTTTGTCACTTCAACAATGTTATTAATGTTTTCAAAGAATATTTTATGTTGTTATGGAAATTTAGAATTGTACAAATTAATTGAATTCAGTGTATTAAAATGAAATTTCTGTTGTGTTAGGTCCGTAGTTGTCATTTGTTGCTTTTTGAAACTAAGCTCAAAATTTAACAATAAAGCATAGGTAATAACTATGTACCTTGAGAGGAGGTATAGCTGTAACACATTTAGTGTCATTTGGTTGTGAAGATTAAGTTGGAATAATAATTATATTTTATTGTCACAAAATGATGAGAACTCATGATTATTTGTATTGTTTGATTATTTCATACACAACTTTGATAGTTTTATCTAGACTAGATAACTACAACTAATCATTGCTATATTAAACTCTATATTTAACAATCCTAAAAGTAGTTTCACTATTTCTTGTCTTTGCAGTATTTTCAGTAGATCTCCCTTGTATTTTTCAGACCATTGCATGGTTAACTTTGTGAAACCTAACCTTCTTGGTACTAGGAAGGAGTTCTGTAATAGATTTGTCAATCCCATCGTCAATGGACAGTGTACAGATTCGTCAGCTCATGATGTACGCCTTATGAAACGTCGTGCACACATTATCCATGAGAAACTTGCTGGTTGTGTCCAGGTAAGACACACACACCTCATCCACTTACCCTGTTAGACAACTCTCTGTCAAGTTTTTAGGGTCACCTGAGACGAAGTCTCAGGGTGATTTATTGAAATCCCCATTTGTGTGGCATCATGCATCATAAACTTTTTAACATTTTGACTTCATCTGGAAGACTCCTGCACCGATTTCAGTGAAATGTCACAAAAACCTTCCATGACCAAACTTGTCAATTATATGGTCCCCAACCCCCAGGGACTAAGAGGCAGGGTGAAAAAGGGTCGAAATGATTGAAACTTCAAAGAACTTCTCAAATCCCAGGTATGATGGAATCAAATACTCTTTATAAATGGAAAGGCCTTCATATGTTTACCAAATGTAAATTTCATTAACTCAAGGTCTCACATTTCCCCCTGGGGAGAGGGGTATACTTTACTATAGTTTATACAAAATTTATTTTCTACTGGAAATATTTCAAACATAGTTAGAATTATTAGTGTAAGCTGAAAATTTGATGAGATGCACATACTGACCTCGGCAGACCCCGAGAGGCTGATGGGTGGGGCCAAAAATGGGTCAAATTGGCTGAAATTTTGAAGATGTTCTGCAGTCCATGGATGGAAGAGTTTATAAAGGAAAATTCAACTTTTTAGAGTAATTCCTTTTAATTAAAACTTAGTTAGAAGTCTTAGCATGGGACAGCAGTTAATGTTAGTGTACATTTGCATTATGTGTACATTGTAGATAAAGTTAATTTTTTTAGCAAAATCATTTCTGAGACATGTTGCAAGAAGCAAAGTAATTCAGGTGACCATTAAGGCCCTTGGGCCTCTTGTTTGTTGGAATAGTGTGACCAGGTTCAGTGTTACCTGTTTTCCCCAAATCAAACAGTGATGCTGAGCAATACAAACTAAAAAATCAAGAGGCATTAGCACCAGGTGATGTTTACAGTCTAGTTTATACTACATTTGATGTTACGATCCAAGGTGTTTAGATTTGTATTTTATCAGGAATCTGAGATAACATAGGTCTGTGCTGTTGTGATTGTCCTTGGGCAAAACACTGCACTAATTGGTTAAGATGTCATGTCACTGGCCTCTTTTGTGTTACTAAATGTGATAACCATCCACTGTTGCTGTGGATGGGACAATGAGGGGCAGCTAAACTTGATCAAAAGAATGCTTTTTCATCAATAAACCAGGAATATCCATAGTTTGTTACAATATTGCAAATAAAAAATGTTTCTTTATGATGAAATATAGCTTTATATTTTCACTTCAATATGAAATTGTTTTTTACAGAGAAAGGACTACTCGGCTCTCACCAAATTCTTGTCACCCAAATTTGAGTATGTGATCTCAGTGCGGCTATCGAAGGTCCAAATTGAGCTGTATCAGAAATATCTTGACAAAACTGGAAGTGTTAACAGTGTAATGGGTAAGGGAGCAAAGCTGTTCTCAGACTACCAGGCCCTAATGAGGATCTGGACACATCCCTGGGTTCTCAAGATGGATGAAGTTCGACAAGAGAAAAAGGTTCATGTCAATTTCTGTTGATTTTTCTTTTTTCATTGTAAACACCTTTTATAATCAGGCACTTGATATATTGTTAAATTCACAAGCTAGACATTTGATACAGTATAGCAATTTGTTCATGAATTTAGCAAAAATATTGCATTTCTCAAGCAATAATTACTAAAACTTAAAGTCTGGAAAGGTTCTTGTTTTACATAGATTTGATTGGGGAAGCATTCATTAAGGGACGTAACTCTGTCTAGGTATATGTAACGTCATGTAAAAGTACGCATAAATTTGAATAAACTACAAAGCACTTTATGTATAGATGAGATTATGACTGTATATAAACTCAATAATCTTGTGTCTTATTCAAACTAAGGAAGAACACTTGAAACGAAAATTGTCCAGAAAACGGAAGGTATTTGAAATTAGAAATGGGAAAATCATGTTTTACTATATTAAATGTTCCATTTGATTAATTTTTTTTGCAAGCACAAATGTTTTGTTATGCTTTTGTTAATATCTTTCTTTTTTGTAAAAATATTCAGCAGTTTGTTACTGAGGTTTTACTATGTTCTTTGATATCATATTGGTGCAAAAAAAAATCCCAGTTTTATCATATCACATGTCTGATAATTTTGTGAATATTCAATATGCTCTTTGTGGTGGGTTAAACTTGAACAGGGTTTGAAAAATAAGCTTAAAGGATGAAAAAACGAAATAACCAAATCACAAACACCAGAACATAATTGCGCGGCTTCTTTGGTGGGATGAACGATGATTTTTTAGAATTTTTTTAATGCCAAACTTTTCTTTGGTTTTGTAGCAGAATGACAAAAAACTTTAAATGTCTGAAAAACCATCAAATGACATGTACTTGTAATAATACATTTGTCAGGAAATTTTCTTTATAACTTTTGAACATTTTGATGGCCATTATAATTTGGAATACTCATTGTACCAATTCTTTTCTCTCTGCTTACTCAAAGGCTAAATGGGATGATGAAGACTCATTTATCGAGGATGGTAGTATGAGTGAAGATGAATCAGGGTCAGAATTAAGCAAGTCCAATGACAGTGACAGCGATGTCGTGGCTATTAGTGATAACAGCAGCGACGAAGACAGTGGAGGTAGGAAGACAAGGAGCAGCAGGGAGGCAGGCAGCTCTAAAGATACAGATGAGTGAGTTGTCAATTTAAAGAACTGTATGGTTAGAGTATGGTGTGGCCAGTGATGGCAGCTGGAAAGTTACTGACAAGTTGATTGTAGATCATGTGGGTTTGTGGATAATGTAGCTCAATAAATCTACTTAAACAAATTTTAACAATTTGTGGACAAAGGATTTTGTTTGGCAAGAATATCCCAAAATTTGGAGTCATAGGATTTTGTTAAGAGTACCACATGAACTAATGATTGATATCATTGAAACACTAAATGTGTCCTTAAACAAAATCACTGAGGTACTTTCATGATATTTTTATTCCAATTTATAAGGAAAGTGAATGAATATAATCAGATTGTTAAACACAATCTATATTTTCTATGTGCACATTCTAATGGCTGTTTGTTCAGGAACCTTATGGATGAGGTCAGTATTGAAGTTTTTTCTGCAGATTCGGGGTGTTTTTGTTCATAATTGGTTTCTGTTGCAGAGTTGTTGTTAATTCAAAAGGAGAAGTGGTGAAGAAATGGACTACACGGTCAAGAGGTGGCGAGGGTAAGTGAGGGCAATAATTACTTCTGGTATGGGCAGAAAGGGTCAATGGTAGAGTCATTTTTACTGAAAGTAGTAACATATATGACAGTATCTCGGGCATTAAGTTGAAGATATATGTGAGTACTGTTGTAATATTTTCATTAATGATAAAAACACTTATTATCCGTGGATGAAAAGAGATGGTTCTGGATATTTGAAGTTTTTCATGATTAGGAAATGTTGTATTTGGCTATAGTTATGAACACTGGAGAATAAATCCATTCATTCTGTGGTAGATTGCTATTTCATTGCCCCGTATTAAGCTCACTCTTCACTTCGAGAAATAATTGTTTTGGCTACTCCTGCAATCAGATATGGTTTTATGAAACAATCTCAACACTGAAGATAAACTATTTATTCTATGATATGTAAATACCTGTTTATCAGTAAAATTTTGTTAATGTTGTGTACACTACTACATAAAAGGAATGTTTGATTTGTAGAAACTTGTACAAAATTTCTGTAATGAAATGAAATACAATGAATAAAACATTAGATTGAAGAATTATTGGTGTATTTGTAGATTTAGACCACAAAAGAATGCTCCAAGGAACATTTTACATAGTCCTGAGTGATATATTTAATAAATTGTATCATCAAACAATGATTTATGATTAAGTTGTTTTACTAATGTCAGGTTGTGAATGGGAAGGGATCATCAAGGCAGCGGAGGAAGAAGAGGATCGACCACTCACCACTGATTGGTGGGCTGATTATGTCACAGAGGAAGATGCTAATAGGATAGAGCTTAGTGGCAAATTGACGTTGCTGTTTGAGATTCTTCGTATGTCTGAGGAGATTGGTGACAAGGTGTAAGTACAGAAGACAATCTCTGTTGTGAAATCTGTGGCCATCATCATGTGGACTTCGACACATTCATTGAAATTGGGAGTATTTTAAAGTTAAAAGCTCAGGATCTTAGTTGGCGGTGGGACCTGGTTTATAAATACTCTAAAACTACACTAACTCAGACTTTACATATGTGATAATCTACTCCGAGTCTGTTCAAAGGTTGGTGACCAGTAAGAGTCTGTATGTTAAATTTCTTCCCACAGGTTGGTGTTCAGTCAGAGTCTGTATGTTAAATTTCTTCCCACAGGTTGGTGACCAATCAGAGTCTGTATGTTAAATTTCTCCCCACAGGTTGGTGACCAATCAGAGTCTGTATGTTAAATTTCTCCCCACAGGTTGGTGACCAATCAGAGTCTGTATGTTAAATTTCTCCCCACAGGTTGGTGACCAATCAGAGTCTGTATGTTAAATTTCTCCCCACAGGTTGGTGTTCAGTCAGAGTCTGTATGTTCAGTTGGTGACAGAGTCTGTATGTTAAATTTCTCCCCACAGGTTGGTGTTCAGTCAGAGTCTGTATGTTAAATTTCTCCCCACAGGTTGGTGTTCAGTCAGAGTCTGTATGTTAAATTTCTCCCCACAGGTTGGTGACCAATCAGAGTCTGTATGTTAAATTTCTCCCCACAGGTTGGTGACCAATCAGAGTCTGTATGTTAAATTTCTCCCCACAGGTTGGTGTTCAGTCAGAGTCTGTATGTTAAATTTCTCCCCACAGGTTGGTGTTCAGTCAGAGTCTGTATGTTAAATTTCTCCCCACAGGTTGGTGTTCAGTCAGAGTCTGTATGTTAAATTTCTCCCCACAGGTTGGTGTTCAGTCAGAGTCTGTATGTTAAATTTCTCCCCACAGGTTGGTGTTCAGTCAGAGTCTGTATGTTAAATTTCTCCCCACAGGTTGGTGTTCAGTCAGAGTCTGTATGTTAAATTTCTCCCCACAGGTTGGTGTTCAGTCAGAGTCTGTATGTTAAATTTCTCCCCACAGGTTGGTGTTCAGTCAGAGTTTGCTGTCTTTAGATCTTATTGAGGATTTCTTAGAATATATAGATAAGAAGCATCAAGAGGAAACAGAGGAAAAAGAAAAGAAAAGGAAAGAAGCTGAAGAAGAGGAAAAGAAAAAGAGTGATGAAGAGAAAGACGAGGAGGACAAAGAGGAAGAAACGAAAGATGAAGATAAAGCAAAACCTGAGGAGGATACAGTATGTATTTGAATTTATGACTGCCTACCTATCACTAGTGGGCTTTACATTTGTTGTCTCAAATACATGGCTTAAGGGCAGCATTAGTTGAAGGTCTGAGACATGTTGTTTGACACTATTTTACTGTGGATGTTTGTGTTTTCTCAAGAAGCTGGGAAAGGGACTTGTAAGTCATAGTTATTTCCTTTAGACTTTATCACAGTTGCTTAAGATAGCATGTAATGGGCTTCCTGCATGTTGTTTAGTAAGATAGCTACCAGCTACTGCTAGGTAACCTCACCAAGTTCCTGGCTGTTACAGAGTGGTAAACTCAGTATACATACAAACTGCTGGAAATTTGTGATGACAATTGTCAAGGGATCACCTTATAGCTTTCTGTCAGTGTTTCTTCTTTGTATAGCATGTTTCATTTTCACTTTGATTAAGAAAAGAGGAAGTAAATGTTTAACATGGTCAATATTTTTCAGCATGTTTTTAATAAGCTTTTATAGGACTTTTGCAAAGAATTCAAGTTTTGAACAAAATTCTTATAAAATTGAAAAGATGGCAAGCAACACCAAGATCCTTCTGTGAGTGACTTTATGTTGAATCCAGAATTTCTTTATAATAAATTCTTTTGAAGCCTGAAGAGAATGTGTTCGGAAAACAATGGACGAAAGGAGCTGACTATTTCCGTATGGATGGTTCAACGAGTGCCCAGCAGAGAAAAGATCTAGCAGCTGCCTTTAATGATCCAGAAAATTATAGGTAAAGCGTTAGTCTGACTACTCGCCTTAAAAAAGTCTGTCTGCTTTCATCTGGACCTTTACTGATTTTCAAAACTCAGTAAAATCATATTCTCTTGATTTTTAAGTTAAGATCTGACTGGTCTAAAGGTTTGCTTGTTTTCACACGAAAGAATTTCTCTGATTTTCATTGTGAATTGGAAAATCATTCTGTAGAGATGTTATTATTTATAGATTCTGTTAAATGTAAAAATCTGAAAAAATCTGCACTGACATCTTTACATCAATTGATCATAATGTGAACTCGCTATGTTTTAGACTAATAATATGTATTGTTTGCAGGGCAAGGCTGTTCATCATTTCCACAAAGGCTGGTGGTCTAGGAATCAATCTTGTCGCTGCTAACAGGGTCATTATATTTGATGCTTCCTGGAATCCTTCCAATGATGTACAGTCTGTGTTCCGTGTGTACAGATTCGGGCAAACTAAGCCTGTGTATATCTACAGATTCCTGGCACAGGTCAGAACTCACAAGACACTCGTATTCCTTACCTCTATTGTGTACTGTTATGGTTGTCGGTTTTGAGAGTCTCTGTTTCTTGCTATTTTTGAAGATAAAATGAATATAATGAAATTCAGATACGTCAAGAGTATGGGAAGACTTTTGCCTAGAACTTCTTTGGAATATGTCAGCAATCGACATATAAACTCATAACACAGAACTTTGGGAGAACGAGAGATGCAGGTTGAAGGTTATAGGGAAGTTCTATAGTCGTCATAATGATCTCAAGATTCTGTTGACATGTTGTTTTGTGTTGTCTTTATACAGTATATCTATGATTTAAACAGTGAATCCTTGAAAGTTTAATAGGCTTTAACAGGTAATACTATTTGTTCTCAACAATAGAAAGAGAAGAATAGAGGGAAATTTAAAATTTCATGATTTTGATGTCCACAAACTTCTGTTGTCTTCCTGCAGGGCACCATGGAGGAAAAGATTTATGAACGACAAGTAACAAAGCAGTCTCTGTCTCAACGTGTGGTGGACGAGCATCAAATAGAGCGTCATTTCAACTCTCATGACCTCCAGGTCCTGTACACCTTCAAACCTGACCGCTTAGATGATCCCAACAGGGAGGAAAGACCAACACCAGAATTACCTAAGGTATTCACTGACATTATCCTAGGTATCCACTGACATTACCCAAGGTATTCACTGACATTGTCCAAGGTATTCTCTGACATTACCCAAGGAATTCACTGACATTACACAAGGTATTCACTGACATTACACAAGGTATTCACTGACATTACCCAAGGTATTCACTGATGTTACCCAAGGTGTCTGACATTACCCAAGGTATTCACTGACGTTACCCAAGGTATTCTCTGACATTACCCAAGGTATTCCACTGACATTACCCAAGGTATTCACTGACATTACCCAAGGTGTCTGACATTACCCAAGGTATTCTCTGACATTACCCAAGGAATTCACTGACATTACACAAGGTATTCACTGACATTACACAAGGTATTCACTGACGTTACCCAAGGTATTCACTGATGTTACCCAAGGTGTCTGACATTACACAAGGTATTCACTGACGTTACCCAAGGTATTCACTGACATTACCCAAGGTATTCACTGACATTACCCAAGGTATTCACTGACATTACACAAGGTATTCACTGATGTTACCCAAAGTGTTCACTGACGTTACCCAAGGTATTCACTGACATTATTCAAGGTATTCACTGACATTACCCAAGGTATTCACTGACATTACCCAAGGTATTCACTGACATTGTCCAAGGTATTCACTGACATTACACAAGGTATTCACTGACATTATTCAAGGTATTCACTGACGTTACCCAAGGTATCCACTGATATTACCCAAGGTGTTCACTGACATTATTCAAGGTATCCACTGACATTACCCAAGGTATTCACTGATGTTACCCAAGGTGTCTAACATTACACAAGGTATTCACTGACGTTACCCAAGGTATTCACTGACATTACCCAAGGTATCCACTGACATTACCCAAGGTATTCACTGACATTACCCAAGGTATTCTCTGACATTACCCAAGGTATTCTCTGACATTACCCAAGGTATTCACTGACATTATCCTAGGTATCCACTGACATTACCCAAGGTATTCACTGACATTACCCAAGGAATTCACTGACATTACCCAAGGTATTCACTGACATTACACAAGGTATCCACTGACATTACCCAAGGTATCCACTGACATTATCCAAGGTATTCACTGACATTACACAAGGAATTCACTGACATTACAAAATATATTCACTGACATTACCCAAGGTATCCACTGACATTACCCAAGGTATTCACTGACATTTTCCAAGGTATTCACTGACATTACCCAAGGTATCCACTGACATTTCCCAAGGTATCCACTGACATTACACAAGGAATTCACTGACATTACCCAAGGTATTCACTGACATTATCGAAGGTATCCACTGACATTACCCAAGGTATTCACTGACATTACCCAAGGTATCCACTGACATTGTCCAAGGTATCCACTGACAAAAGTCATTAGATTTGTTTTTGTGGTATCTAATGCAGTATGTTGTTAGATAAATATTTTAGATTGTTATTTTTCATACATTAGACAAGAAAATTTCACACTAAGTGCTATATTTTTCTCATCTAATCTGTCCGGTACCTTAATGCAATTTTTATTGCAAAATGATTAAACCAGAAAACTTCAGTAGATCAATAAACTTGAAATTTCTAATGGTACATCTGATGTTTATTCAAGAAATTGTCATCTTTGTTCTTTGTAGTAGTATTAATACAACCACAAACACAAGTTTAAAAGCTTTTGTTACTTGTGACAGTGAATCGTATTTACCAGCTAATCTGTCAGGAAGAACTGTACATTTAGATATGTGGGTATAAAGTGTGTTCGTTCCTTTGTAGGATCACATGCTGGCTGAGATGCTACAGAGTCACAAGGACTGGATCTGCGCATATCATAAACATGATTCCTTGCTGGAGAATCAGATTGACGAGGAGCTTACAGAAGAGGAGAGGAAGGCAGCCTGGAAGGAGTTTGAAGATGAGAAGAAGGGCATTATGAACAATGTCCGCCAGCAGTTCATGGGTTAGTTCTTCTTCTGTGTTACTGCCATGATTCATTAGGAAGGTATCTAAATAACAAGGTCGCGATAGGTCAGTTGATTAGAGTGTTGATCCATGAAACCTCAGTTGATGATCCAAGGTGAGTGTTTCAAAACTCCTTATTTGTGGATATTTGTGTTTCTCAAGAAGCTGAGAAACAGACTGGTCTGCTGGCATGAATATGTCCTTGGAAAAGATACTTCACCCTAATCGTTTTTGACAGCATGGACAGGACTCTTGTATAATGTTAACTAGGGAAGCAAGCAGCTACTACTAGAGACCCCGCCTAAAATGACTGCTGTTTACCAACAATAAACCCAACAAATCACAAATTATCTAAGTAACACCGTTATAACTGTATTCTTCACGGTGGCAGGTAGTCTAATACCCAAAGGTGATTTAAATTACCAGTCTGTATTGAAAGTCCTACTACTTTCATACTACTGGAACTGTAAAAAAAAAGGGGGGGGTTACTTGAACATGTAACAGAGTCTAACCTTTTGAACTATCTTTGTTTGGGAAGTGAATAGGTGTAAGTCTTTTATAAAAGATTTTGTCAGAGAAAACTAACTTGACATGAGAAGATGTATAGTAAAAGCAGATTTCCTGTAAAGAACAAAACTATTTTGGGAAAATATCTATTTTCTGTAAAATTTTGTTAAAATCATTAAAATTTGCACCACTGATCCTTTACAGCAATATAAAGATAAATCGAATCTTATCTTCCTGAATTATTGAATACCAGATATGATATTTATCGACGGAAATATTGATCGGTGTATGATAAGTGTATCTTTAGGAAACTGTAAAATCAGATATTTTCAAGGGTTTTTTGTGTGTTTGTATCATTAGGTTAGAAGAACAGATTTACTAACTGACCAAACAAACCATGGATTGTTTTGTAGAGTACATCAGTAAATGGTTGAACGAGTTGGTTTAAAGGGGAAATGCATTTTGATCCAATAAATCATCCTAAATAATACAACTTTAAAATCTTTTAATCTTCTCAAAATCAATATAACTTCAGAAACTAAATTATCTTCTGAAATCACAAACCTGGAATAACATTAACCCATGCTGTTTTTTTATTATCATTAGGTATGAACAACATGCCAGGAATGCACCCAGGAATGGCTCCCAACATCAACATGAATATGTTAATGCAACAAGGTTTAAGACTTCCTCATATGGGTGGAATGCCAAGCTCCAATATGCCCTTTAACCAACAAAATCTTCTTCAGTTAGTCCAGGATATGAAGACGAGGGTATGTTGGTTGTGTCAGCATTAGTGAATTATTTTATATCTGGTCATAGAAGATATAGACTTCTCCTGACTTCAGTTAGTCCAGGATATGAAGACTAGGGTATGTTTGTGTCAGCATTAGTGAATTATTTTTATATCTGGTCATATAAGATATAGACTTCTCCTGACATCAGTTAGTCCAGGAATGTAGACTAGGGTATGTTTGTGTCAGTATTAGAGTGAAATGTTTAATATCTGGTCTTAGAAGATATAGACTTCTCCTGACATCAGTTAGTCCAGGAATGTAGACTATGGTATGTTGGTTGTGTCAGCATTAGTGAATTATTTTATATCTGGTCATATAAGATATAGACTTCTCCTGACATCAGTTAGTCCAGGAATGTAGACTATGGTATGTTGGTTGTGTCAGCATTAGAGTGAATATTTTTATATTTACTCGTCTATCTATGTGAACTACCTGACTGATGTATACAAGAATGTCCAGCGTGGGATTTAGTCAGTGTTAAAACTCACAGCAGAATATTATGTTGTATGATTTATAACAGTAACAGAAATTGTTTGTCATGATATTTTTCTTTTTTTTTAATGGTGCTTGTGTTACAAATATTTCTCAATTTGACATCACCGTATTTGTTGATTTGGAATGCTAACATCAATTTCTTAAGTCAAAGTGCTTCCTTTACTAAAAGACAGCAATGGTTTTCAGGGTGGTGAGTCAAGGTCAGGGCCAAATAATATAAATAGTACACTTACTGGTTTCTTAATACTACAGTGGAATAATTGTGTTGCAATCAGTAAATCTGTTTGATTTTGTCAGAATAAAATTTAAGGTCACATATTGTTTTATACATTTCAATACAGTTTTGGAAACTGTTATATATTTATTGAGTTATTGAGCTATATTATAAACACTGTTTTATACATTTCAATACAGTAGGGGTTATGAGTTGAGTTATTGAGCTATATTATTATAACACTGTTTTATACATTTCAATACAGAAGGGGTTATGAGTTGAGTTATTGAGCTATATTATTATACATTTCAATACAGTAGGGGTTATGAGTTGAGTGTTTATACATTTTTATACATTTCAATACAGTTGGAGTTATGAGTTGAGTTATTGAGCTATATTATAACACTGTTTTATACATTTCAATACAGAAGGGGTTATGAGTTGAGTTATTGAGCTATATTATAACACTGTTTTATACATTTCAATACAGAAGGGGTTATGAGTTGAGTTATTGAGCTATATTATTATAACACTGTTTTATACATTTCAATACAGTAGGGGTTATGAGTTGAGTTATTGAGCTATATTATTATAACATTTACACAGTTCTTTTTTTGGTTATAGTTCCCTCATCTGCCTGAAGATCAGCTGACTGCAAGAGTGCAGGGTGTCATACGTCACATCATCACTAATCAGTACATGCAACAGCAAGAAATGCAGAAACGACAGGTGAGATCATCACATAATCAGATACCTGTAACTGGACAGATCATAGAATCCTCCCCATAATCAGATACCTGTATCTAGACAGATCAGAGAATTTTCTCCATCAGATACCTGTAACTGGACAGATCATAGAATTCTCCCCATAGTCAGATACCTGTAACTGGACAGATCAGAGAATTCTCCCCATAGTCAGATACCTGTAACTGGACAGATCAGAGAATTCTCCCCATAATCAGACACCTGTAACTGGACAGATCAGAGAATCCTCCCCATAATCAGACACCTGTAACTGGACAGATCAGAGAATCCTCCCCATAATCAGATACCTGTATCTGGACAGATCAGAGAATCCTCTCCATAATCAGATACCTGTATCTGGACAGATCAAAGAATCCTTCCCATAATCAGACACCTGTATCTAGACAGATCAGAGAATCCTCTCCATAATCAAACACCTGTATCTAGACAGATCAAAGAATCCTCTCCATAATCAGACACCTGTAACTGGACAGATCAAAGAATCCTCCCCATAATCAGACACCTGTATCTAGACAGATCAGAGAATCCTCTCCATAATCAGACACCTGTATCTAGACATATCAGAGAATCCTCTCCATAATCAGATACCTGTAACTGGACAGATCAAATAATCCTCCCCATAATCAGATACCTGTAACTGGACAGATCAGGGAATCCTCTCCATAATCAGATACCTGTAACTGGACAGATCAGAGAATTTTCTCCATCATCAGATACCTGTAACTGGACAGATCAGAGAATCCTCTCCATAATCAGACACCTGTATCTGGACAGATCAAAGAATCCTCTCCATAATCAGATACCTGTATCTGGACAGATCAGAGAATCCTCCCCATAATCAGATACCTGTAACTGGACAGATCAGAGAATTTTCTCCATCATCAGATACCTGTATCTGGACAGATCAGAGAATCCTCCCCATAATCAGATACCTGTATCTGGACAGATCAAAGAATCCTCTCCATAATCAGATACCTGTATCTGGACATCTGACAGATCAAAGAATCCTTCCCATAATCAGACACCTGTATCTGGACAGATCAAAGAATCCTCTCCATAATCAGACACCTGTATCTGGACAGATCAAAGAATTTTCTCTCAGAATCCTCTCCATAATCAGATACCTGTAACTGGACAGATCAAATAATCCTCCCCATAATCAGATACCTGTAACTGGACAGATCAGAGAATTTTCTCCATCATCAGATACCTGTAACTGGACAGATCAAAGAATCCTCCCCATAATCAGATACCGGTATCTGGACAGATCAAAGAATCCTCTCCATAATCAGATACCTGTAACTGGACAGATCAAAGAATCCTCTCCATAATCAGATACCTGTATCTGGACAGATCAAAGAATCCTCTCCATAATCAGATACCTGTATCTGGACAGATCAAAGAATCCTTCCCATAATCAGACACCTGTATCTGGACAGATCAAAGAATCCTCCCCATAATCAGACACCTGTATCTGGACAGATCAAAGAATCCTCTCCATAATCAGATACCTGTATCTGGACAGATCAAAGAATCCTCCCCAGATACCTGTAACTGGACAGATCAAAGAATCCTCCCCATAATCAGACACCTGTATCTAGACAGATCAGAGAATCCTCTCCATAATCAGACACCTGTATCTGGACAGATCAGAGAATCCTCCCCATAATCAGATACCTGTATCTGGACAGATCAAAGAATCCTCCCCATAATCAGATACCTGTATCTGGACAGATCAAAGAATCCTCTCCATAATCAGACACCTGTATCTGGACAGATCAAAGAATCCTCTCCATAATCAGATACCTGTATCTGGACAGATCAAAGAATCCTCCCCATAATCAGATACCTGTATCTAGACAGATCAGAGAATCCTCCCCATAATCAGATACCTGTAACTGGACAGATCAAAGAATCCTCCCCATAATCAGACACCTGTATCTAGACAGATCAAAGAATCGTCTCCATAATGAAATACCTGTAACTGGACAGATCAAAGAATCCTCCCTGTAATCAGATATAACTATGTCTGGACAGTACAACAGTACAATAAATCCTCCCTGTAATCAGATATAACTATGTCTGGACAGTACAATAAATCCTCCCTGTAATCAGATATAACTATGTCTGGACAGTACAATAAATCCTCCCTGTAATCAGATATAACTATGTCTGGACAGTACAAAGAATCCTCCCTGTAATCAGATATAACTTCCCTCCCTGTAATCAGATATAACTATGTCTGGACAGTACAATAAATCCTCCCTGTAATCAGATACCTGTGTATGGACGGTACAAGAAATTTTTCCTGAATTGTATACATTTCGTACCGGTTCTGGCCACTACAAAGAATCCTCCCCAACGTATAGATGTTTTGTGTCTGTCCAAAGACAGCAAGCATAATCCTTCCCACTAATCAGATAACTGTATCTGGATAGTACCGAGAATCCTCCCTCTCTATAATGTACTTTATCAAAATGATTTCCTATCTGCTGGAACAAAAAAAATGGGAGGAAATATTTTAATTTGACATAGATAAATGTAGACAAATATGTATACTACCCTTCATAATTTGTAGAATTATAAAGTTACAGTGGGTTAATTTTAGAATTAATCAACACATTTTGACAACAAAAATATAGTTATATAAAATTGGTCTAGCATTGTGTTTCCATTGTTAACCTGAAAATGAAACCATAGTTCATGTACTTTGGGATTGAGGAGAAGTACAATTTTTTAATCTAATTTTGAGTCTTTATTAGATGTGTAATTGATTCCATTTGCTTTTGATAAGGAAACATTTATCTTTGGTTTATATGATAAAAAAAAACCAGTGTGGATAAATTAGTAATTCAAATCTTGAAAATGTATATACAAGGCCAGAGGTCTGCAAAATATGTTGTACATTGCTACCCTAAAGAACCTAATTAAAGATATGTATACCACTCAAAAATATATAGCTGTTGGCAATGGTTAAAATAATCTCCTGCCCCTGAAAAAATTTTTTTTTTTACTTGGAAAGATTATTAGAAACCACATAATTAAAAGGTAAAAGCCATACAGATAGCCTTGCCTAGTCCCTGATGTTTTTTTTTAATATTTAATGTATGTATTAAAGATTTTTTAACATAATATAACTATTCCTTAGGCACCTTTCTTCCTCTGTCCTTTCCTCCATCATTTCTTATCTATAACTGTCTTCTTTTTTCTCTCTTTAGAAACAGTGCAAAGCACTTTTTTTCCAACTCTTGAAATCATGATTCTGCTTTGCTTTAGTTATGTATGAAAAAGTCTAAGTATATGCAAAGAGATATGATATCTCATGTATTTGAAAATATGGGATATAAAAATGTGATTTTTTGTATGACTGTAAAAATTTCAAAGATGTTTTTAAAAATTACAAAAAAAAAGAAGTTGCATTGGTATCTGTTTTGCTTTGTAGCTGGAACAAAGAGAAATGCAGCATCAGCAACAGCTCCATCAGATCCAGGCCCAGATCCAGCGTCAGCAGCAGCAGCTGAATGCCCACCAGAGGATGGGGGGCCACCCTGGCCAAATGCCCAACAGGAGATAATCCTAGTGAATATAGGCAACAGATAAATGTTTCACACTGCTGTGCCATGGAGATAGAGGTCACAAGCAAGGAACACAGCAGATAATGGAAATGCTGTTCAACAAGGATATTTTATGACATCTGTCGGTCTGCTTGATTCGTATCTTGCTCAAGGAAGTGTGTAGTGACTCTGGTACTTTGTTATGAATATCAGAGTTTGAAAATTAAGTTATTTTTGTAACGTTGATGAGCAAACCTTAACAAGATATTGGTAAGCAGACTTTGATACATGACTTCAAACCAGTTGTGGCAATATTTTTGCTTTGTTCTAGTCTTTGTTTTTCTGCCTCTGAAAGTACTTTCAGTCATTAAAGGTTGAAATCTTTATTTCAGAAAATAAGATAATGAAAATCCTGTGATCATGAATACTAATCTAAAGAGATATAACAGCTTGTTAGTCGGACAATAAGGCTTTAATAAAATTTAAAATTTCTTTCTAGATCTAGTTGAAACCCTGCTAACATGTTTGATGGTATGCACAATTAAAGTTTGTTTAGAGCAAACAATTTGGCATTTCATGTTTAACTATATATTTCTTAAGGTTTACCCACCACAAGTCCTTTTTTGCCAAAAGTAGTGGAGGATAGGGGCTAGACCTGTATATTAGTATAGTTGTCACCGACTGTGTAATGAGAAACAAATATTTTGGTCTTAATATGATGAATTATTGTTATTAATGTCAGATTAAAATTTGTAATATCTTCAGAGAACCATTTCTAAACTTCATGTAAATTAATGTCTTTCATTCATTTAACCATATTACAGAGCACTTCTCATATATTTGTATGGTTTAAATGATTGAAGTCAACACTTCTAGATTATCCGGTTAAACTAGAATTTTGATGTTTGACTCTTATTAAAAGGTTTTTAAAGGAGCATCGCCAGAGAAGTGCAATTTGTGGCCACTGTTCAAGATTTCATGGTACATACAGTTTAATTCTAATAAAGTTCCAGAAGTATGTGTTAACATGCATTATGGAAAAGTGGTGTAATGGACATATTCTGCATGTGTAGTCTTTCCATTTCACTCTGTGCAAACCCTGATGATCCACTTAACTTCTGTGGCAACATGGTTTTATTTTTGAGAGCACATGGTTATAGTTTTTGTTGATGATCTTTACTAGAGCACAAGGTTGTGACCTGTGAAGAATGTAAGGGTACATTGACTGTACCTTAAAACTATTTATTGTACTGGTTTGGAGAAAGGGACCAGTCAAGTCCGTTTAGAGTTATGGTGAATTGTGTCCACTATTTATGTCCCCTTGTTTTTCTCTGTTGACTGTGATCAGATTGTTTGAAAGCATTTGCACATGTTAAAGCCGAGCATGGGAATGACGGGTGTGTCAATGTTAACTGTTGGTAAAGAATTGGAAAGGGAAGAGTGTTTTATTTTCTGTTCAAAGTTTGGTGAATTTAAGTAGAATTGATGTTGTAATATTAAGGTATCATTTCTTGTATGTGACTGTTGGTGCTTTGTTTTTTTTTTTTAGTGCTTTTGAAGTCACTGAGACTTTCAGTCACCCATGATTTGTTTGATTTATAAAACATTAGATTGCAGTGATGTAATAAATTTGGGATAGTATGAACGGGACGGGATATATAAAGATGTATCCTGTCCACTCTTAAGGAAAGGAAATCAAGGTCATGATATTAAAACTTGTTTGTCTAATAAAGAGCAAAAAAGGTTTTGTTCTTCTTTTTTTCTTCTTATGTATGGCTTTAATATTTATAGAATTCCTAACAGGAAATTATGTGTGAAGTTTTAATTTTAAATATTGGAAAGCAAAAACCGGTTTTATCATTCCTTCAATTTTGTTTAAGTAGCAAATCAAGACTTCCATTTGTTAAAGGCATCATGTATTCCTGATCATTTGACATTATTGTTTACACTATAAGATGTGCAATGATAGGAATTAAATTAGAAAAATATTGTTAGAATCAAGTTACACAATCACTTTGATTGCATGAACATTGATTTGAATTTAAATGTGATTTTAAAACCAATTTTTCTGGGTGGTTTCGTTTTAGTTTTAGGATTTGGATTGCGTTTACCATAAAACTAATTTAAATTTTTTTTTTTTTTTTTTTGCGCATGTTCATTGTATTTATATGCTTTTGATTATGTATAGTCCACAAATAAAATCGGTATCTAAAACACAAACAATTATCTTGTCATTCCTACATTACCTAGTTTAAGGTGTAATAGTAGAGTGATGGTGATAATCACATAACTAGCCTGTCTCAATGTTATAACACCCATAACATGATAGTTGCGGCTTTGTCCGTCATAATTTTTGTCCAGAGCATAACACAAAACTATAAGCGGTATCAACAGAAAATCTTGGGTAAATAGATCTCCACAAGGAGAAATGCATGGCACAAGAACCATCACTCGGTTTTGTATGATTTAGGAGTTATTGCCCTTTATTTTCATACTTAAATTTTGTCAGGAGCAATACACTATAACTATATGAGATATTAACATGAAACTTCATGGGTAGATAGATCTCAACAAGAATAATAACGGTCTTATTGCTCCTTGTTATTTTTTTTACTTAAAATTTGTCCCATAAGGGAAACATAAACTGTCTCTGATGGCCCTTATCGGTTATGACAAGTGTAATACAGTGTATAGGTAAAGCAGCTGGGAATAGCTAGCTGCTCTTTGTGACTTCATGACTTCATATTATGCCTCAATATTCTCGGCGGAAGCGCGAGCTATCTACCTCGCCCTTGAATATCTTTAAACAAAGTAATGAGAGTTGTTATCCATTCAGACTCTCTTTCTGTACTGTGAAGTCTTAGCAATAGAAATATCGGAAATGTCTTCATTCGTAACACATTAATACTACATCATGAACTTGCCTTTAATTTTCGTATTGCTTTTTGCTGGGTTCCTGAGTTTTAACAGTGACAGGAGGAATGGAATTAATATACAAATAATAAATTGCACCCCGTAAAACAACATCTGTGAATGGTCTCCATGCTATAGACGAGGTTGTCCTTGCCCGTCTTCGGATGGGCCATACACACCTTACACATTCATACATGTTGAAAGGCGAAGATAATTCTCGGTGTATAGGATTCACTGTTAATTTTTTTATAAGCAGAGGGTCTCGGAATGGTAGGCCCCACTGGGGGAAAAAAAATCGAAATTTCTGGTGGATATATACGATGAACGTGGTCGATAATTTCTGATTTAAAGACAAGACGTTATCAATATATCTGAAAGTGAAATTAAGCAATTTTGCAAAGTCTTTATGACCGGTCTTATAGTTCTTCGATAGAATGGGCAAACTAAAACAAATCGGCCAACAGAGAGACACGTTTCATTCCAGTAGGTATGCCTTTAGTCTGTTGCAAAATCTTAATCTAACTCAACAAAGATGTTGTCAACCAGAAATTCTATCATTTTTACGATATCGTCTGTACATTCTTTAGTTGGGACGTATTTTTCAGGGAATACGCTACAATATACAACCGCCGTTCACCACGGTAAAGAAAGCTTACAACAAGAGAACGTTTAGAATGGGGTATGGTGGTGTATAGAGTGGAAAAATCAAATATTCTTATAGAAGAAATTTGTTTTAAGAAGATTATTTAGAACTAGTTAGAGTTCTTTAGAATCCACGTACTATTAGTTCCATTCCCTGAGTAAAAAGTATAACAATATTACTGTAACCCAAATGGTAGTAAGTTTGGATAAAAGTTTGGTTGAACAGTTAGACGAGACAGCAATAAAACGTTGTTTATACAGATTCTTGTGAAGTTTAAGAATCCGATATAAATGGGGAAGGTCCGTACCCTTATCGTTAATAGGTATTCTAAATGACTGGTATACTGAAGCATGATTAGCCAATAATCCTTTTTGGGAAAGATTGCATAATGTATAGGTGGGGCTTCATTCGTTATCAAGAAAGCCTACCTCTTTGTATATACAAGACAGGTAGACAAGGATACTTTTATTGGAAGCTTCATCTGCAAACACAAAAATCATACCTTTAACATCAGGATCGAGGAAGAGAGTGAAGAAAACAAAGCAGAAGTGAATCTTAACGCAAAAAAAAAAACAGCACAAAACAAGACATTAAAGTCTACAGCAGTACAAGATATGACTGCTGTCACTGCGATAGAAACTTCGAAATCAAATATACTCAAAGTTCATGATAGTACGATGACACACAATGCCATGGACACATATGTCAGTCACCACATAAGTGCCAGTGATAGTCCTGTCACGCAGGTGATAGGTATAGTACTGTCACGGAGGTAACAGAGATAGCCCTGTCACGGAGGTGATATAGATAGTCCTGTCACGGAGGTGATATAGATATAGTCCTGTCACGGAGGTGATATATATAGTCCTGTCACGGAGGTGATATAGATATAGTCCTGTCACGGAGGTGATATAGATAGTCCTGTCACGGAGGTGATAGATAGTCTTGTCACGGAGGTGATATAGATATAGTCCTGTCACGGAGGTGATATAGATATAGTCCTGTCACGGAGGTGATATAGATATAGTCCTGTCACGGAGGTGATATAGAGATAGTCCTGTCACGGAGGTGATAGTCATATAGTCCTGTCACGGAGGTGATAGATAGTCTTGTCACGGAGGTAATATAGATATAGTCCTGTCACGGAGGTGATAGATATAGTCCTGTCACGCAGGTGATGATGTCACGGAGGTAATATAGTCCTGTCACGGAGGTGATATCCTGTCACGGATATAGTCCTGTCACGGAGGTGATATATAGTCCTGTCACGGAGGTGATATAGATATAGTCCTGTCACAGAGGTGATATATATAGTCCTGTCACGGAGGTGATAGTCCTGTCACGGAGGTGATAGTCCTGTCACGGAGGTGATACGTCCTGTCACGGAGGTGATATAGATATACACCTCTCACGGAGGTGAAAGTCATATACACAACACACAGGTTTATAGATATAGTCCTGTCACAGAAGTGATAGTCAGATAGTCCTGTCACGGAGGTGATATAGATAGTCCTGTCACGGAGGTGATAGATATAGTCCTGTCACGGAGGTGATATAGATATAGTCCTGTCACGGAGGTGATATAGATAGTCCTGTCACGGAGGTGATGTAGATATAGTCCTGTCACGGAGGTGATATAGAGATAGTCCTGTCACGGAGGTGATAGTCATATAGTCCTGTCACGGAGGTGATATAGATATAGTCTTGTCACGGTGTTGATATAGATAGTCCTGTCACGGAGGTGATAGATATAGTCCTGTCACGGAGGTGATATAGATATAGTCCTGTCACGGAGGTGATAGATATAGTCCTGTCACGGAGGTGATATAGATAGTCCTGTCACGCAGGTGATATAGAGATAGTCCTGTCACGGAGGTGATATAGATATAGTCCTGTCACGGAGGTGATAGATATAGTCCTGTCACGGATATAGGTCACGATATATATAGTCCTGTCATGATAGTATATAGTCCTGTCACGGAGGTGATATATATATGATATATATCCTGTCACGGAGGTGATATAGATCCTGGTGATATATATAGTCCTGTCAGATATAGTCCTGTCACGGAGGTGATATAGATATAGTCCTGTCACGGAGGTGATAGATATAGTCCTGTCACGGAGGTGATATAGATATAGTCCTGTCACGGAGGTGATATAGATATAGTCCTGTCACAGAGGTGATATATATAGTCCTGTCACGGAGGTGATAGTCATATAGTCCTGTCACGGAGGTGATATAGATATAGTCCTGTCACGGAGGTGATAGGTATAGTCCTGTCACGGAGGTGATAGATATAGCCCTGTCACGGAGGTGATATAGATATAGTCCTGTCACAGAAGTGATAGTCATATAGTCCTGTCACGGAGGTGATATAGATAGTCCTGTCACGGAGGTGAATATAGATATAGTCCTGTCACGGAGGTGATAGATATAGCCCTGTCACGGAGGTGATATAGATATAGTCCTGTCACAGAGGTGATATATATAGTCCTGTCACGGAGGTGATAGTCATATAGTCCTGTCACGGAGGTGATATAGATAGTCCTGTCACGGAGGTGATATAGATATAGTCCTGTCACGGAGGTGATATAGATATAGTCCTGTCACGGAGGTGATATAGATAGTCCTGTCACGGAGGTGATAGATATAGTCCTGTCACGGAGGTGATAGATATAGTCCTGTCACGGAGGTGATATAGATAGTCCTGTCACTGAGGTGATATAGATAGTCCTGTCACGGAGGTGATATAGATAGTCAAGTTACGGAGGTGATATAGATATAGTCCTGTCACGGAGGTGATATAGATAGTCCTGTCACTGAGGTGATATAGATAGTCCTGTCACGGAGGTGATATAGATAGTCCTGTCACGGAGGTGATAGATAGTCTTGTCACGGAGGTGAAAGATATAGTCTTGTCACTGAGGTGATATAGATAGTCCTGTCACGGAGGTGATATAGAGATAGTCCTGTCACGGAGGTGATATAGATAGTCCTGTTACGGAGGTGATATAGATAGCCCTGTCACGGAGGTGATATAGATAGCCCTGTCATGAGTTGGATCATAGAAACATGGTCTACTTTTAACCTTTATTGGGGATGCCAGTAACAGTGAAAATCAAGGCACTGGTGTCGCGATAACCTGCATGTTCACCAAACTGATGTTGACAGTTTGATTTTAAAAAACTGAATTGGAAGCTCTGGCAAAATCACATAATGTCGACATTGTGCACGTTTTGGAATCTTTGCCAAAAGGTAGACAACTGAGATTCTGAGATTTGAGTTTAACACTGAGGGTTATCGCCACTAAACGTAGGATCTACTTACTGATACGGGCGGAGGAAACCTCACCCATGTTATTAAAGGTCTTACGTCACAAGTGATCAGCATACTGTATCCGAATGTCTTATGTATCAGAATTGAGATCAACAAAACATGAATGGTTGCTATTTCATTGTATTTATCGCAGCCAGAATAGTGGACATGTTTGCCTTGAAGATCTAGCTTAAATTATGATTAATGAAAAGTATCAACAATTGCCCGTAAAAGAGAAGAATAATTACAGTTGATTTTAACATAAAGATATCAACTACGAAACCAAGTTCCACCCAGCGTCAGCATTTCTGG